TGTGTGTGTGTGTGTGTGTGTGTGTGTGTGTGCTGTGGAGAGCAGTGATCCTCATGCATGCACTGGAAAGGGAGGGGTCCTGTTGCTTCCTGTTGGGGAAGGTTCAGCAGATTGCCACCACCAGGTTCCAGTGTGGGGTGATCAGCCCAAGTGTATGTTAGTGACAATGCATGAGCCCCTAAAGGTTTGGTGGGTTCATTCAACTAAGCACCTTGATTTCATATACTTCACTGAGCTTCTTGGACCTGCAAAATTGGGGTGGGAATCTCTGATGCTTCTGATACACCCTGTTTCTGGTCAGGCTGAAAATACCTGAACAAAAAGCTCTTCCTCATAATTATTTTGGCACTTATGTTTCTGGTCCTGGCTGAAACAAACAAACAAACAAACAAAAAAATGCAGAGGCAACTGTAAAATAAAACAAAAAGTTAATTGAACTTTTATGAATCTTCAGAAAAAAAAGAGGGTGGTCAGTTCGGGTTGGGTTGGGTTGAAGTTGGGTCAATGCCAGGTTTATCCAAATTGGTTTGCCTATCCCCAATATGTATCTTCCCTCTTTGCAAATTCATGCAGGTATCTTTTTATGAGTGTTATGCATTAGCAACTTTCTGAAATTTCACCTGTGCCATCATATATTCTGTTCTGTAAGGGAGATGTCAGGTTCTCCAGAGGGGCAGGTGTCTGCTCAGCAGCAAAATTTGCATGTTGGCTGGTGAAATCATCCCCAGCTGTTGGCTATAATAAATGCTGGTTATGTAAAGCAGGTGTGTGTTTTGCTTCTCTCTGTTCATGTGTCCAGCATCTAGTGGGGAGTGAGAGGTGGTGAGATTCAACTGGGGGAAAGAGAGGTCTGGACGATAAAGCTCTCTCTCCCAGTCGCTAAGATGGATACTGAACAGGAAACGACAACATTGGCCTGATTTTCCTCTCCCTTATCCCAGTGTTAATCAGGAGTAATTACATTGAAATCAATGAAGTGATACCTGCATAAGACTGTGTAAGTGAGAGGTGGATCCTACTCCACCATCAGTTGAATTCTTCCTTCCCCTGGAGAGACCTTCTTCGTACTGGGATAAGAGGTGAACCCAGTCTCCATGGTCATGTAGAAATAGACTTAGTTCCCACTGACTCGAATGGGAATCCCAACTCTGGAGCCCCTGGAGGAATGTCCTCTTTTGGGCCGAGAAAGGAACGTTTTTCCTTCTACGAGAGTCTCACTCCAGCTGTAAAGAGAAAGAGATGTGGGTCTGAATGAAATGCCTGCCCCTCTTGGCTCTGCAGTGGAGAGAAGGGCTACAGGAATTTCTAGGCCCAGATAACTACCTTGTACCATACCATGTGGGTCAGAAGGTACTAGGCCTTTCAGTCTGCACAGTATAGGTATATATCTGAGCTGGGTGACTGGAGCTCCTTCAAAGACACAGGCCAATTGTTCCCTCTACAAGTGGAGCCCCACCCCACTTTGGGACAGCGGGTGTTTGTGGGATACACCTGTAACAAACTGAAATAATGACGTACTGCTGATATGGGCATCCTAGCGGGCTCATAGAGACAGTGTGAACCTTGTGGCGCTTGTATGGTTTGGGATGGGCTTTGTTTAGGGCAGGAATGCATTGTTGAGTGTGGAGGGTAAAGTCTGCACAGAGGGGACTCACAGTGGCACAAGCTGCGTATAGTTTTGCAGCCCTGTCTCATCATTCCATATCCTCTGCTGCCACCTAACGGACATTTCATTTCACTCAGTGAAAGAGCATGTGGCACCACTAAAGCATTTTACATTTTCAGAGCTCTGCATGAACCCTGCATTCCAAACGCAGGCTAATCTCCCATTATCGTCACACTAAAATATACATAGAAGCAAAGGCCTAAGGGTTCAGTGGGAAGGGATAAATGGCTAGTGGGCATGATATGCACAGTCAGATTTGTGAACTGTATGCGTTGTGTATGGGAGGGGGCAAAAATATTCCTGCTTACATCCCCCAAATGGGCTAGCTCTGCCAAAATTCAAATACCCGACAACAGTGGTTCTCAACCGTTTTTATACCAGGACTCTTTTCATTCTAGCTGGGATCTAGTCAGGATTAGTTAATCTAATCTAATTAGCAATTTGGGAAGGGCCAGGGCCTTGACATATGCTTGTGATCCCTCCAAAGGGGACATGATCCGAAGGCTGAGACTGGACGGTTCAAAGAATTAGAAGGAGGTTGGCTGCCTTTATTACCTTGCCCCCATGGCACAAAGTGACATCAGCACAAGGGTGCAAATGCCTTTACATCACTGACATGTCATGACCCAGTGTTATAACATTCTGAGGCTATAAGGATTTTATGCCAGCCCCTGATTATATTTCAGCATCAATGATGCCTATGTCATCTACATGGTGGCATAGGGACCTGTTCTTTCAGATGAACCAAACCACAAACCTGACCTGCTAGTCAGAGCATCATCCTTGACTTTCCCATCTGACCCCAGTGCTATCAAACTGTACTAGTGATTGAGTCTCCTGTCTCCCTTCCCCTGCAACACACAGAGAGAACTGTTCTTTGGCTCTTGTTCTATGTAGAGCAATCATGAAAGCCCACAAAGCATGGTAACCGAATGGGAGAGCTCACCACAGCCTAATGGGTGGGAGGTCACAAAGAGGTGGGAAGCTGCTGATGGGGAGGATTAGTGTAGATTGCTGAATGGGGCCCAGCATATGCAACTTTGCAAAGGGCTCTCAAAAACTTAGGGCCATCCCTGTTCAGGTCTGTTTCAGTGTTATGCAAGCTGCTTCTTACAGGGCATGGGGCAGCCTCTCTCCCCCAAACCAGGACTGCGCCTCAAAATGAGCTCATGTGGAAGCCCTAAATAGGAACGGGACATATAGCCTCTCACAAGCAAGGCACTAGTTGGAATACAGCCAGTCAGTAGGGACTGAAAGTTGCTACCTTCTGTCCCTGTTCTGTGATGTGTAAAACTAGCTAGTGGGTCTCAGTGTAGTGCATTTATGAGACAAATGCCCATATCACCTGCAACTTTGGCCACTGTTTGGCTCCTTTGTTGGCAGTCTCATCCAGGGAGGTCAAGAATGGTGGTCTTTTGTTTGGTGAGGAGCAGCTGGCAAGCCGAACTAGGTTGCGTGGCTGAGTCAGGCACATTTCACAAGCAATATCTTCATTTAAAAATATATAAAAAAGGACTAGAGTGGGATGGGCAGCAGTGTTGTTTGAGAGGCTAGGACAGGGTGGGGCAAGAAGGGAATAGGCAGCTGTGTTATCTGTCGTGCCAGATGGGTTCTGAACCAGAGAGGCATCTCAGTTCTGCCTTTATCAGAACCCTACATTCCTTTAATGTTGTTCATTAAACTTTTGGCTGGAGATAGTTTGCTTCACTCAACCTCATCTTGTCATGTAAATCCACAGAAGAGAGCTGTCTTGGGTGCCTCAAAGGTCTGAGTCTCCTCTCACTTGAGACTGACAACAGGATTTGAACAGGGCCTGGCATAAGGAACCTTCATGACCCAGAAAGAAAAGAGAAAAGACCATAGGAAATCTCAACATTAAGTGAACTGATAAAGACCAGGTGAATGCATAGCAACTGGGACTGGAGTGGAGGAGAAACTGTCATTTAAAGGACCCAGACCATTTCTTTTGGACATCTTTTGGACATCGGAGCTATTACTTCCGATATGTCCTCGCCTTGGTTCTAAATTACTGTCCTCCAAACTGCAGCCTGTGTCCGATGAGTGATCCCAACTGACTCATATCCGAGTGTAAATTTCACACAGCAGATTTGTTGGAATTCAATTTATGACACTAAAAGAGAAAAGAGCAAAACATCCATAAGAAAGAGAGGGTAGCCCCATCTTCTGGTTCTGTGGGAGTTCAACATCCTGTAGCAGATCTCCTGGTGGACTCTGGGATGACAGCTGATCTACTGAGCTT